GGTCAAATACTTGTTTAAAAGTAAATATAAAAAAAGGCAAACAGTAGTCCTGTCATGTTGTACCGACTTGTTCCAGGTAGACTTTTTTTCCCTATTTTATAATTAAAGCACATTTTTATGTCAAGCAGAAAGCGTATTACAGAAGCCTATTTGCATAACAAACAGGTGTACAAAATTCGAGAAAAAGTCGACTTTTGAAGGTAAACAAACTTTGTAATTTCATGTTTCTGGTTTCATTCACCGCTCCAAGCAAATTATGGTAGTGTACACAGAATAATTTTATTAAAAAATCGATCATGTTTTTTGTAGGCTTATTTATAAACATTCTTGAATGGTATGACCAGTTTTCGGATATCTTTGCTAATTTTTCGTATATCTTTGTTCATTGTCTAATATAAAGTTTTAATTAACACAATATTTGTTGTAATTACTTTTACCGTGTACTATTGACGATCGTTTTCATGTCTCCCCTACCTTCCCGCATTTGTGCAGTTTATAAAAGATCTTGGCATAAGTTCAAAAGACATCAGGAAACACGAACAAGGTGGACAGTGCACTGTGAATTAATCAGAAATCATATTTCCAGAAACAGGTAACAGCCGAGAGAAATTTGAAATGGGTCATTACGCAACAACACGAATTTAGACAGTTTTAAAATACATTCAGCCCCATTACACTAAAGTGAGAAAGTTTTGCTCAGGCTTTACATATAGATACATATTTAAATATAAACTGCTTGGTATTTATGTTCAGTGCACAAGACAAGAGCATTTTCAGGCGTATTTGAGGATGAGCACACTAAAGTCTGATGCGTTTGCTACAGCTGTTTTGAATAAAAGAATCATTTTTATACAGAATACGTATGTACTTACATAATCTACTTCGAATCTACGTTGAAGTGTCTCGTCGCAGACGTTAATAAATAGGCGAGCATTTAAAACGTACAAATGTGGAAAATATTCGTTTTGATTAAAGTGTAATAATTTTGTTTACGTCTAACATTTTAACTTGAAAAAAAAACTAAATTATTTTGAAAGCTAACAAACAGTATAAAGTGTTATCTGAAATATCTTCTGCTGAATATTTGTTCAGCAGGTAATTTAAATAACAGTCCGACGTAAAGGGTTCTTTGATATGTACATCACTGAATGTGAATAAACATTTTGTCCAAATTAACGCTTCAGGTGAAGTCCAGTAAGTCAGTATGGGTTGGTAATAATTATAGAAAACATAAAGGAAAGCTTCTTATACCACGTGCATTCTTCGAAAATTCAACTACAGTTCAAACCACGATTTTTCCTCTTAAGATTTATTAACTGTCGACAAATTTACTTCACAGTTTAAATATTACGATAGTTTTATAAACACTGTAAAATATAGACCAACCTTGTCATTCTAATTGACTTGTTTATAATTACTACAACGAATATTCAAAGTAGGTGTTTACAGAAATTTCGTTCCATTGCAATGACGAGCTTTAAAGCCATTTCGATTAACTCAAATTTGATAATTATAATTACTACAAAGAACAAAAAAAGAATTATTTCATGGCACAAATAATTCAAACTGTTTACGAATGTTACAGTGTCCATCTGGTACGGTCTATTTTACATTGTGTAGCTTAATTTTTATTTTTAAAACTTTTTCTAAAGAATATACAAAAGATTTTGGTGGGGAGTAAATATGCCAGTTGTACATATATAATGTGAATATTTACAGGGAAATTAGATAGAGGAGCTATATTAATTTCAATTTCATAATTCTTTCAAACCAAGGAGGTCCTAAAAACGATTAAATGACCTCAACAATAAATAAAATAAATGAAAAAGTATATACGGTTTAACGTTTTAGTATTTTCCTGATATTATTAAAGCATGCCCACCGAAAGCACGGACAGACGGAAACGGGAAGTCTGTATTGCCATATTCAACGAACTGTGAAACATGAAGGAAACATAAAATTAAACATTCATTAAAAAAAACCTAGTGCAATTTTTCTTCCACTATTACTTTGCCGGCACAAAATAAAAGGAATAAAATTCGTCTCAAGAAATAAATTTTGCTTGGTAACTTTAATGTTTAGATGCATTTTTAATAAATATGTATGTAGTCTTCGTATCGATCGGTATAAGGTATTAAAATTCTTACCAGTTTTGAGTTATAATTATTATAAACATTGGTATCTATAAAGTTAACAGATGTTTTTATTGGCCGTCATATTGTTTCCAGCTTTGTTCAGTTTGAAGGCTTGATGAATATGTTCGAAACACAACTGCATTCATTGGTTTGTACATCTGTGAATTTAATAAATCGTTTATTAATAGCTCGTTACTGTTTTTGTATAATTTTTCCGTGCTTTAAACATTAATTCAGTCATTGTATGTATGCGTGTTTTCTAGCAGTTTTCTATGATTATTATCACAAAAGTTTCATGTTAACAAAATGTTTGTACTGTTCTTAGAATTTCATATTTAAAAATTTAGTGTATCAGAAAAATTTCTTTTATGGTAATAGGACAGAAGATATGGAGATCATAAATTTAGTTAGAGCGTGAATTAAATGATTTTTTTTTTTTAGAAAATCTTGATCGATTATAATATTTGACGAAACATTTTTTTTTAAGAGTATTGAGATGAGTACAGCATATTTATAATCATCTCTGAAAAACGCCTGTTTCGGGAACAGAATTTTAACATTTCTGGAAGAGCTAGGTTACTATAGAACAGAATAAAGTGCATGGGAGAAAGACGAGGCGTGTGTGTCGACGAGAGATGTGCTTTATATAATTGAAAAGGAAATAAAGCTGTCTGCGGTTGATTTTGTATAGCTTTCTAACATTTTATAAGAAAATGTGTATCCAACAAATTGAGATTGAGAAAAATATTTAATAATGCATCGATTAATTTGAAAAACATAGATTTTATGAAGAAAATACAAATTTAAGCATTCAGGCCTGGTTGAAAAACACAATTCTTACACACGCACTATCAAAGTTTAAAATTTTATATCCCTGTTTTAGGTACATAATTTTTTTCTTTAATCCCTTTGTATCAAACTCCTCTGTCTCGTTCCAAATCAAATTAATTTTCTTTTGGCGGTTCAATCTTGCTGTCATATTCCTTTCACCTTATTTCAAATATCTCCTTACATAACGCTTTCCGTTATTTTATTAAAAATGTTGCTGTTTTTGTTAACTCTTTTTCCAGAATTAGCTGTACAAACTGCGTACGAAAACACGCAGGTTTAATTAACTGCTAATAGCTAACAGAAGGGCTGATTTTTTAACCATTGTGTAATTATTTGAATTAGATATTCGATAAATCTAGATGTTAAAAATAAAGCCACTCTGCTAAATTTATCGTATTGTTTTGGAGAATTAATTAAAGGAAATAAACAATGTTGGCCCACACACCGTCAAATGATAAATTTATACTAGCATATTCTAGAGTTTGCTATTTTTTATTCGTGGGCTTTTTGTTAACTAGAATGAGATCTTATAGTTTCTAATCATTCATGCAGTTACTGATACCGTGTAACTTTTTTAATTTCTGCTCTAGCTGGCCATGACGCTTACGTCAGCAGTCAATTGAAACGGCTGACGTAAGTACCATGGCCAACTAGAGCAGATATTTAAATAAGAAATTAAACGTCCATTTTAATTTTACGGTCATACTGTGATTATTGAAAGTTTCAAAATGTGAATAAATTTTATGCTTATATGGTGCTCCAACGAAAATTGTGGTTTTATGATTTTGCCTTTTCCCCGCTCCTCGGGAACAAAAAGCATCTTAAACTAACATCACCGAAGATAAGCCGGTCCTGTTGAGGAGGAGCTTGCCAACCAAACACAACAAAGAACCGCTAATTAAGTTTGGGATGTGTAGTAATAAATTTGCATTTAATAGGATGCATTATTCGTTGACAAGGTTGGTGAGGAGTCAAAATCGTAAAACGACTACTCTCCTTGGTTTACTATATGCGTTGCATACAATTAGGAACTCGTATTTTTATAATTAAATCAATGATTTTTACAAAATTGAAATTATTTATGCTACGTGGTATTATAATGTCGGAAAACATCTAAGTTTTAATCAAAGTCAGAAACGTTGCACTGTACATCTATTTTGTTGGTGGTTTGCCAGTTTGTGTATCGATGTCTTTATTTTGGAGAGAGCGAAGCGTAATGATATACTTTTATTGTGGAATTTAAAAATTTTTCAAATGGCAGGTTTTCTGAGTGGGAATGAACCACATCCCTTTTTATTACTTTGTAATAACCGAATCGCTTGAAATGTGGGCTTAACGGAATTTTTCAATACGTTTTCCGATGGACTTGATGAAACAATTAGGGGAGGAAAGCGCGCAAAAGAAATGAAACACAAATTTACTGATATAAAGGAATTCCATTTGCTCAAATACAAAAATCTAAAATTACTGTTCGTTACTAAAATCTCCACGAAAGTAATTGAAATAATTGGACAAAGTGCCCGCAATCTGCCTCTTTATTAATTGTTTTTATTAGTCTGGTTTTAAAAATTGCTTTGACTAGTTTGATATTCAACGTCAAAGCCACTTTTCTAAGTGGGAGTATAGGGCAAATTTAACGTATATAATATTAAAATAAATAAGTGTTCATCTTCTAGGACACAAAAACTTTAAGTTTCAACAAAATATTAATGAATAGCATAGGGTATGAAGTACCTACTGCCTAATTTTTTAAAACTAATTCTTTTGTTGGAAAATTTGAACTTTTTCGAGAAAAAATAATATCCACTCTCTACACTTTTGTACTTTCAAATATGTACATATATACTTCTACTAACTGCAAAAAAACAAGGATTTCCATTTCCTCTTTCTTTCTGTTATTGATAGTGGTGACGCATAAATTTGTTTGTGTAACTCCCCTGTAACCCTTTTAACTGATAGATTTGACTATAATAGAGTAGAAAGACACCCCGAAATAACCATTCCAAGATATATAATGTGAGATTCTTGTTACAGGCACTGACGCAAACAAGCAAGTTGTCGTTCGACCGTGCTATAAACTACATCCAATAAGACGCCGTGAAATAGACTAAACAGAAATCTAATTGTGTAGTTATCTGCCATAGTTTCTTTGACTTCGGAACTTTTAACAAACTTGTAACCGAAAACAAATAAAGTCGCATGAAAACTGGAAATGTCGTAACTGAATTTCTACATAGTGATAACGAAAGAAACAAGAGTGTTTTGAAGCAACGCCCTGCCGCTTCTGGGTGCAAGTCATTTTTGAGCTGTCACTGTGGAGTGGTCGGGGAGTGAACCTATGGACTGTGATTCTGTTGAGGGAATTATGAAATCAGACGAGGAGATGGGTCGTGACAAGCCATCTGGTGCAAGCTCCGCCAACCACAACCATTATTCCAGTGAGTATCACTTCTTGTTTAATTGTCCGTCTTGTTCTTATCAATTCCTCAGAGATAACTTGACGATTTTCGCAGTTTAAGTTTGATTTTATTCAACGAATACGAACAGAGGATTCGCTATGCGCTCGAACAAAAATATCGATTTGCAGTAAAGTTGTTTTATGTCAGGTGTTGGAAGCGATTTAGGAGAAATTTGTAAAAAAAAATTTGCGGTCTCATTCGCGTTTAACGCGCTACCTATAACATTATTATGGCCACAATAAAAAATGTCGTTGAAAATTGAAATAATTGTTACGAGTTTTGGCAGCATCTGCACTATATAAACCAAAATTAAATTCCGAGATACAGATCTAGGATAATAAAATCATGACTGCTGGCGAGACGACACGTTTCATAGTGCTTGTAAAGGATTTTGCGAAGAAAGAAATACATACGGTGCCTTAAATCGTGGCTGAGTGAGGTCTTATAAGCTTGAGATTTCTTTTTTTATTATTATACAGTCATTAAAAATTTATAGATCATTATGTGTCGCATAAAATGCACCTATTTACTTTTGACTCTGAAAATTTATTATTTATTACGTACATAATTTACTCCAGAGCAGTGGATTTTATGTAGGCTCTTCATTGATGTTATGAAAATATTTTTTCTTGCTTTTAAAAGCAAGCTTCTCGTCTTGTTTACAAAATTAATCATTTTTGTCGACTTAGAAAATATATGCCAATGTACATAGAATTTGGTTATAGACCTAAGTGAGACGCTTACTATGCATTTATCTAAAAAAAGTAAAAAGAATGACGTAACGATCTAGAAAGATTAGAAAAAAGTCCTTACGACGAAGTTGTGTGCACCACTTGAACAATAAAACCAACTCTCTAATGCTGTATTAAACTTGAATCTTGTAAAGGCATGGAATTTTGTGAGCAACGTTTTTGAAATAACTAAAATAAACTATTCCGATTTGTTGTTTTTTGAAAGAAATACGTAGAACTGCGACAGTTTTGCAGCTCGTTGAACGCTCACATTTGTTGCTCATTTTTCCTCTAAATTTTAAACATTGTTTTATTACAACTGCTTCCAAAGGAAGATATTTTGCTTTGTTCACACACGTTGTGTCAGAAATAAGAATATATTTAGTAACGCGCATAACATTTAATATTTTTTATAGTTGTACCTACAATTCAGTTCATGTTTAGCCGGCACTGTATAATATAATCCATTTTATTTGAGAGATTATGGAACAATGTTGCCATAATTGGCAGTGGTTATGAGTTTTATTTACATACATAGAAACGTGCACTAGACAACAGGTGAGAACTCAGCGGCAAATCTCCATATCTCTGAACATTTAGAGCTTTCAATTTTGACGACGCAACTTTAATGAATGTTAATCCTTTTGTACGTGATTATATATATGTGTAGCCAGGATTGTTGTGGTCTACATTTTAAATTAATACAACAATTAGCAACAGCAGTGAATCCCGATGGTGAAATTACTTGCACACCATATGAAATTTCAGAGGACGTTGTTGCCAGTATGCTACTTCTTTTTACAGTGTATGTTTATAACAAAGTCTGTTAAAATGCACAAAATTTTGAGTGCAATGTCTTTGCAGCGTTTTCGAATTATTTTGTAATTCCGCTGGGACTTTGCTAAAAGATTCGTGTTTGTGAGTCGAAGAAGACAAAAGTATTCTGAATCTATGTAGGTTATTATTTATGTAATGGTTCTGTCAGTAGTGAAACACAGAACTTGGGCATATTCTGTCTTGCTTGCCGACAAAGTCAAATTGAATTATGACTTGAAAGTGGAAAGTATTGTCGAACTTTATTTCATAATTTTATTTTGTTACTCACACAAAACTATGAACTAGCAATGCAATTTAACATGACTTTCCACTTTCAAAGCAAGATTCAGTTCAGTTTTGTTCGTACGCAGTTGCTTTTGTGTACGTGAACAATAATATTGTGTTTGTAGAAACGCATTAAGCTTTAAAAACTCTAAAAGAGTATTAAAATGCACGTAATAATAGTTTTCTGTATTTTGACGCATTTTATTTTGTTTAATAGATACTTTCATATCTTTGGTTAATTTTCATTCACAGACAGATCCTTGGATAGCACGTTTATGTGTATCTGTTTATATATTTTGTTATCAGTTTGTGTCAGTAAAAAAAAACCTCTGCGGTGGTTTTATTTTCAATGCAGTCGTACCATAAAACATTACGAAGTAACAAAATGGTGATATTTTATAATAATTCATGATAATCAAAGTAAAAAAACTGTTTATGTAGAGGGTATTATGAAATAGTTTATGTCCTGTCGAGGGCGACAGTTTGAGACCCGCTGGTTAATGAGTCGTTCGAAGGTACAAATTTCAAATAATACTCATGGTAGATACAAAAATTTATGTCTTACCGTGTAATTTTTGATATTTACGAAAAAAGTTATCTTTGAGCATTCTTTTATTGGTTGTACTTACTCCAGAAGAACTAATTTATTTCCTGTTGTAGAAACCGTGGTTTCAATGATTTAAATTAGTGCTGTTTCTGTATCTACCAGCATTAGACTAAATAATAGTTGCGATTGCGTTTCCTGTTGATGTTGCCTGGCAACTATTCTTAATGCCCTAGGGAATTATTAGATCAATCCCTACCTTAAATTCGGGCTATTATAGATCAATAATAAACCGGTAAGCTGGTGTGGACTATTATTGCCAGAAAATTATTAAATGGGCAATATTTCTTCAAAATGTCAAATAGATCGGAACGTATTTTTTTGTCCACTAAAATGTTGTAATGTTATTATGATGGGGAAAAATAGAGGTTGTATTGAAACAATTGAGACCGCCTAAAGTAAAGACAATAGATGTAAGTAATAAAAAAACAATAATATTCTAATCATTTTCATTATTCAGTACCCTTTTGAACTATAATTGTTTGTATTTCTTCACCTGTGACATTTACTAAGGCGGGAGAACTCTCAGGGTGATTGTTGTATTTTATGATCCCTGCTTTGAGGTCAGTTCAAATCAACTCAATTGGATTAAAAATACGAAAGTAATGAGGTGACTTCAGTATTTGAAAACATATGAACGCGTCATTTCGTTGACTGCACAGGTTTTAATAAAATTATGCCTCAAGACAAATCCTAGTAATTGCTTTTTTGTTTTTTCTACGGAGGAAATATTAACGTTTTTCATATTCAAAAAAAATTCTAACATCAGACTTTCTCGTTGTTAAATTTGGAATTTTTTGAGTCGTAGATGTGATTATTATCAAAAACTTAGAGTTACAGTCATGTAAAATGACCATCAGCCTCTTCAGAAAAAATTATGTAGATTAAGAAATGCCTCCCTTGGAAGTATTTACATTTATTTAAAAGAAATCAACTCCCCTTAAAAGGAAGACAAATTTTACCTAGCTTCAAGAATTTACCTTTGAGTGCGAAACAACTTTATCAATACAAGTTTTAAATGTTTGCCGGCACATTGAAATTTTACAGTTTGGCTGGGGCTTCTACCTGCTACTGGTACAGTGTCATGTTTACCTAGTTCTTAGCGTCTTAAACTGAGCGGGGTTAATAAAACTTTAGTGGACACAAAAATAATGTTCTGAGTAAGCAATACATTCTTTTAGATAGACATCCTCCAATAAATATTCGATATAAAAGAAATCGTTTAGAAAGTTTTTTCAGACTCCACCTACTGTGAACATAAATATCTAAAAAAGGTGCCACGTTAGAATAAGTTTCTTTTGCATTTATGTTTATTCCAGTAGGTTAAAATAGGGACGTAGCCGATGGACTAATGAAATTAAAGAGGTGGTAAAAATTCAAGTGCTTTAGGTTACTTTTCATTTGACTATTGATGAACGTCCTCTAATAACAAGTATAACAAATTTGTAAGTAGTTCTTCATCATAACTAACGTCTTCTTGGTAATAAATGATAATATATTTTTACGAAAAAACTTAAAACACATAATGGAAAAATATGAAGAGCATAAAATTTGCAGGTTTACTTTATAACGTCAATGTCACTTGAAAATATTATGTGTTTCCCCCAGGTTAAATACAAAGTTTGTAAAGTTAAATTTGGAGAAAATCTCACCGGCTGTTTGCTGACCAGTTTCTGAATACACAGGAAATTATGAGTATTTCTTAGAACACTCACTGAAATGTGTTTTGTACTTTATTTGTCTTTTAGTTGGTGGTTTATGAATTTCATAGTATTTAAAGTAAGTTGGTAAATAGAAGTGCTATTATTATGTGAAAACTATACGAAACAATTTGTATGTTATTTTTGCCAAATAATCTGAATCTTGGATTATTCCTTGTTGACAAATAAATTGTTCCTCGTACCTTAAAGTATTAAAATAAGCTCCCCAGTTTAATCAGCGGACTTTCAAATTCTATAGCGCTTTACAGTTTTTCCATCGTTAAACAAGTTTTATTTGGAGGTTTCAGAATAAACTTTTTATCTTGCTTGTTTTTTGGGGGAAATAATCCTCCTATTTTTTTTTACAGAAATCCTATTATCCTGTAAATGTGCTAATGTTTCGGTTTTAACGTAAAAACCAAAGTTGTTTTTAGCGTTAAATATTTCAACTCAAGATGGCAGCTTGAAAAGTTTTAGTTTTTCCATTTATATATGTATGTAATTCAAATTTCGTTCCCAGTGATATGAGCTTTAAGAATTTACAAGTTTGAAGTTAAGTCAGCCTTAATAATTGAACAATACTTTGAGTTGATTGTAACTCGATGATACATTAAGCGAAGTCAAACCCGTCTTACGTGAAAGCCTACTCTAAACGGATTCAGCCGTGAAACGCGTTATTTATGTACTTTGGCAAATATAATCTATCGTCTCTCATCAAATGTAACAGTCTTTAAAAACCGTGAAATGCTTGCTCCACATCGCTCCCTATAATATAGAATAAAATAAATTTGATCTCTTAACCAATATTAAACTAAGTGACAGCTCACCATCTGCTTATCTCTT